AAGCTCTTTTCTTGAAGGTGGTAAACTATTCCACAGAGAGGTTGTACGCGGAAGAAAACTCCTTTTGAAACGTATAGTGGTAGACCGCCATGCATCCAGATGGTGTGGATGGTATCGGGACGTTTGCCGCGTAGTGCGTTCACGAAATTTGGCGGATGGGGTTAATCCGAACAATTCCTCAGAGCACTCTCCATGGTATATCCATGGTATCCATGGGAGTGACAGCTGTCATTGCTGTTATTAAACATTAGCTCCGCGTTTTTACTCTTGGATAAATTGGAAATCTAATTAAAAATCTATATTTTTGATGAAAACGAGGAAATTAAACTATAATATATGTGTGGAAGTGTTATTCGCGAAAATAGTACATGTTTTATTGAGAGAAAATTGAAGTAAAAACTAAGTGTGCCGTTCAGTTTAAATGGTCTAATGAAGTGATTAATCATTGGTGCTTAATTATATAAACAGTGTAATTTAACCTACGTGAACTAAAATTATAATAAATATTATAATCTCGCTTATATATATGTGATTTACGAGCCTAATACTATAATTTAAATCAATTGGATGAAGATTGTTGTGTGTTAAACTTTTAAACTACCCACAATTATTACTGGATTGATAGTGTATACTAGTGTCATCTATTAACTATTATAGTAATAGAAACTGGTTAAAGTCGATAAAGTAGTATTGTCAAGTTCTGAATGATAACAACAATTTCACCAACTGTTTATAAGGATACGTAGCCTAATAGTAAGTTCAGAGCGGTAATGCCGGGAAGTCGGAGGTTCAAATCTAATACTTTAAAAAATTTTTATAGTCTTTTTTCATTTCTTATAAAATGGCATCAAGGGGTATAAAAATATTATGCAACAAATGTGATAAGGAAATACATCATAAGGAATTTCTTAAATGTTATGTATGCAAATACATTTATGAAATTGAATGCTTAAGTACAACATCCAAACGCTTCTATCTAATGTCTAAAGAACGTAAACTTAAATGGAAGTGCCAAACTTGCTTGGGACAGAATACAGATGTTACAGAAGCTAAAACCCCACAAAAACTAAGCAATACGACAAAATCATGTTCATTAAAAAAAACTTTGCGTACTGATGAAAACATAACACAGAGAAAGCCAAGAGTGGGTAAATACATTTCAATTGAAGATTTATCAAGTAATGAGATCTTAGAAAGCTCCACATTCTTAGATGATAGTTCACAAAGTTTACCTAATTTGACAACCACGGAAAGCTCCCTGATTAATGATCTTAGGAATGAAATACATGCGCTTTCTACACAACTATCTAGCGCACACAACGAAATAGATTTATTAAATTTGGAAATCACAAAACATCAAAAGAAAATTACTGAACAGCAAAAGAAGCTCGATATATACAAAAAACTTTTGTCAAATGGAGAAGTATCTTCACGAAGGTCAACACCGTTGAAGTTAGATAAAATTACACCGATAAAGTTAGATAAAATTATATCCAAATCACAGGATACGAATAGTAAAACCAAAGTTGAACAAAGTCTAAATACTCATTCGATCATAGAAAAAGACCTAAAACTGCAAGAAATTTGCATAGAAAAAAAGAAAGATGTATGCAATACATCCAATAAAACACTTATGTCCCCTTTACCTTTAGCAACATTTACGGAGGCAAAACCTAATATTAAAAAGAATACGATCACAATTCTTGGGGATGAAAATACGTCGGGTTTATCTTCAGCTTTATACAAATCAAGAGAAGGAAAATGGAATAATAAGTATATGCCATTAGCTATAATAAAACCAAACGCTTCCTCATGCGATATTTTAATGCATTGCAACCAACTTGAATATACAGTAACATTAAGTGACTATGTTATATTGTGTGTTGGGAGCCATGACTAAAATCCGTATAAATTTTATTCTAATCTTAGCGTTGCTTTGTATAAACTCTGCAAAACTAATGTTTATTTATTACCTGTACTAAGTAATTTGTATTTAAATGAAAAAATGATAAATAATATGTATAAAATATTGACTCAAAATCACAAAAATTGTAGGCTTATTGACATTGATTACAAATACTGCAATATAAATTCAAAAACCGATTACATAAATTACCTGTGTTATTCTATTAACATGTCTATAGATAGTCACGAGTATGATAAACAATTTATAGTGCAGAAAAGTAGGCTGAAAAAATTGTAGACAGAACTTCGTTATTAAACGAACCAAAGAAAAAAAAACTTATTATTTCAAAAAACAACTTATAAAAAATCAAAAAGTTCATGAAGTTATTAATTATAAGAAGGGTACCATCGAATATTTCTTCGAAAAAATGAAAATGAAGAATTTGAAGTCAACGGACGGGCCTTTGCAAACTTGTAACGTTAATATAAATAATCCTGTAGCGAACCGCTGCATAGGTTCCTCAAGTAATAAAAAAATGCTTTTTCGATAAAAACCAGCCTAATCAGAAACTACTTCTTTTACATCAAAATATTGCTGGAGTTTTAAATAAACAAGATTTGATTGCAGTAAGTTTAAATGAACTAGCTTATAGTAACAAATATATTCAAATAATTTGCTTCACTGAGACCTTTATTAAAGGTGGCGAAGAACCTTAAGCTGCCAGGTTTTTGGCTGGCATCATTCTACTCCAGACCAAAAGAAAGACGTGGCGGAGTATGCATAGTTGTAAGGAAAGACATAAATTATAATGATTTAATGGTAACGAAAGAATATGAAATGACAAAACATTTTGAATGTTGCGGAATTGAAATTGGTAATTTTAATCTTATAATTTTATGCATATATCGAACACCTAATTCAGACATATACATATTTTTTCGAAAAATTAAATAAATTATTATTAAAATTATCAAGAGGAAATAAAAAACGAATAATCATAGCAGGAGATTTAAATATAGACACTATAAAGGTTTTAGTAATTACTCTAAGAAGCTTAAAGATTTATTACTAAATTTTAACTTAACTCAGCACATAACCTCCCCAACCAGAATTAATTCATGTATTGATCACTTAATAAGCAATGTTACTAAAGCAAAAGGTTCTATACATTATTTGGGCCTCTGTGACCACACGGGACAAGTACTGGAGCTTCCTATGAAAGTCAGTAAAACAGTAAAATACTGGTTTGAGGTAAAAAAGGGACTTTGCGAAAGATAATATAGAAAAGTTCTTGGAATGTATACAATCAATATCTTTTTCTGAAATCTATACTGAACAAGACACCAAAAAAGCATTTTCAAGCTTTTATGATATTTACAAACTGTTCTTCGACCTGTGTTTTCCGTACCAAATTAATTAAGATTTCGTTAAGAAATAATAGAAGTTATTGGCTTACAAGAGGCATAAAAAAAATCTTGCGTAGTAAAAAAGAAAGCAATATTGTAAATATCTGCTTACAGCGGCAAATAAAAGTCTAAATAAATCTAGATATATAAGTTATGCTAAAATTCTTAGGAAATGTATTTTAAAGGCACAAAAAATTCAAAATGAAAAATATATATGTATTTACCTCAAATAATAAAGGTAAAGCTATATGGAATGTCATAAGAACAAATATAACTAATAGACTAACTAATAAAGAAATAGATACCATAAATTACAATGGAAGAACCCTGGTAGAAGGATATGACATTGCAAATGGGTTTAATAATTTTTTTATAGATTCGACAAATAAAGACAAACCAAATATGTCAAATAATTGTATGTGTAAACAATTCCGTTACTCTACTATATTCTTACGACCTACGACTCCTGATGAAGTTAATGAAATTATATTATCTCTTCGAAATATTAATTCGGTTGGGTATGATGAGTTACCGACAAAAATATTAAAACTAAGTTCTTTAAATATAGCACCAATACTTAGTCATATCATAAACTTATCTTTTACCCAAGGAATTTTTCCTGCAGATCTCAAGTATTCAGTTTTAAAACCCATCTTCAAAAAGGGCGATACTAAAGATATTAATAATTACAGACCTGTTGCAATGGTGCCCATTTTGTCAAAGGTTTTTGAAAAAGCAATACTTAAGAGACTTAATGATTTTAAAAATTTGGAAAAAATTTAACATTATTAGTAACGCACAAAATGGTTTTGTAAAAAATAAGTCCACAACACTAGCGACCTTTCAACTTGTTGAGCTTATGACAGAATGCGTCAATGACGGTGTACCGGTGGTAGCTCTTTTTTTGGATATGAGTAAAGCATTTGACTTTGTTCATCATGGCATACTTCTCAAAAAACTCGAAAGATACGGAATACGTGGGAAAGCAAAAAATGGTTTAAAAGTTACCTCGGTCAAAGACAGCAATGCACTGAAATAACAATGCTCAAAAACCTTAAAAAGGTGCACATTCAGTCGGAATATCGGTTGAACAAATATGGTGTACCACAAGGAAGTATTCTGGGTCCTATACTCTTCCTAATATATATTAATGAGCTACCAACAATAACTCCTCATAAAACGATACTTTTCGCTGATGATGCAACAATCATTCTTAAATGCACGAATAAAAAGACTTGATATCAATAGTACACTAAAACATATAATTGATTGGTTAAATTGTAACAATATGACTGTAAATATAAATAAAACTAAAATAATGCAATTTCATACAACTAGAAGTAAGCAAATTAATTTAAATATAATGTACAATGAAAAAGTGCTACAAGAAGTTGATTATTATAAATTTCTTGGTATCACTATTGACAATAATTGTAATTGGAAAAGGCATGTTCAATCGATATGTGACAGATGTGACAAATTAAACAGATTTGTATTTGCACTTCGCCGACTTCGAGAAATAGCATCTGCCAAAGCAGCCTTAAACGCCTATCATGGCTATGTTTCATCGATATTGCAGTACGGACTTCTAATGTGGGGCAACTGTTCTGAAATAGAACGCGTATTTAAAATCCAAAAAAAATGCATTCGAGCAATCTGTGGAGCACATTCCATGACATCGTGCAAACCATTATTTAAAGAAATAAAGGTGCTGCCACTCGCATGTATGTATATAAAACAAGCGGCGATTTTTGTCAAAAAATTCCCTGAATACTTCCCAAGTAATAACTTTTTAAGAGATAGAAGTTTAAGAGAAAAATCTAATAACAGAATATACTTTCCAAAATGTAAATTGATGCTCTTCCAAAAAAATTCATATATAATGGCGATTAAAATCTTTAACTCTTTATCCGACGAGTTTAAAAATTTCCCAGTGACAAAGTTAAAAAACCAACTTCATGAATGGCTTTTACTTAATTGTTTCTATACTGTTAATGAGTATCTTGATCACAAAAATCAAAACAAATTACATATTTAAAAACTGTATCCAAAAATGCTTGAATTTTTTTGCTTTGGACTTTGATAGTTATAGAATAATTATTGGTTAGTTAATTTTACTGTTTTTACATATGAACCTTTTGATATTTGTAAATAAGTTAAATTCATTGAAAAAAATTGTTATATACAATTAGTCAAAATTTGCACGCCTCGTCAAGGCAGAATGTATAGGAACTTTCATGATTTAATAATACTATTGTAATATCTACCTACATTCTATGCAAATAAATAATTATGAATTATATTCGAAAGAAAATGCAAAGAGATGCAACATCTCTTCGCAGTGCCAATGAATCGAGCTGATCGGAAAGCACTCGGTCGTCGACATTCGAACCGCTCTGCGCTGGATGCGGTCAAGCGGAAGGAGCTGGTACTAGGGAACCCAGCCCAAAGATGGGAACAGTATTCCATGTGCGGCTGAACCTGCGCCTTGTAAAGTTGCAGGCGGAGTGCCGGCATGAAATACTGTCCCGCTCTGCTGAGCACGCCAAGCTTTTTAGAGGCCAGTTTGGCCTTCTCTTCCAAGTGACCACGAAACTGCACGTCATTCGATATGTCGACGCCGAGGATTCCGATACTGGCTGAGGCAACAAGGGGAGTGCCTTGAAACTGAGGAGATACGACAAAATGGTTCTTTTTAGCGGTTAACGCGCAAGTTTGTGTCTTCTGGGGGTTAAACTGGACTAGATTTAGTCGCCCCCAATATGAAACTCTGTTCAGCAAAGACTCGACTTCAGACACAAGTTTGTCCCGGTACTCGGAGACGTTTTCCCGAGAAATATTGGCTCGGCCGGTGTAAAGAGCATCACCAGTGCTGTCATCTGCATAGCAATGATTGTTATGGGTTTGCAACATATCATTGATATTGTGACGGCCCAATATTATTATTAATAATTAAATTCAATGTAAAGGGGCGTCAAAAATAGTCTTAAAAGATATATATTAAACAATAAAATTACATTAATAACCATAAAGTTAATATAAATACATTTCAGACATTAGACCAATAACATAGTAAATTAAAGGCAAAATATTGTCTTCCATAATAAATAAATTTACTAAAAACTTGATAAAATATTTAAAATAAGATAATTAATAGAAATATAAGTCGAAAATATTATAAAAATAAAGATTAATAACATTAAGAAGATAATTAGAAAATTTGTTAAAAATTGTCTAAGACGTGGAAGGAGTTCATATATAAAAGAAAAGTTTTCTAAGTTATGGAAGGTGTTCATGTATAGATGTCTTGTATAGAGGAGCTGCCGGAGATACATACCTGCAGTTGTACATATATATGGGGTGGTCGGAAGCCCGACTGCCTGAAGTACTGTAGCACAATGACTAGTCCTTGTGCTACAGTACTTCAGGCAGTCAGTACATTCAGTACAGTACTTCAGGTAGTATTAGGGACTTATGATAGTAAGGTCTATGATACAAAAGCAATACTTATAGAAGGTCTCTATGATGAATTTGCACTACAATAGTAGGGTCGTGGGTTCGAACCCTATATATTAATGACTTATGAAA